CAATGACGATCTTATGGCGAAATTTTCCGGTTTTGTCACTTCTAAAACTTGGGGTTCATTAATGGAAACATTAGCTGAAAATAGTCCAACAACAATACCACTACATTTGAATTTAGCTACCGTTTGTTTTTGAAACAATTTTCTCTTTCTCGAACATTTACAGTATAACATATTAATTTTTAATGTAATTTTTGATGACTGTTTTACTTTTTAATAAAATCATTTTGTCACATTTTTAATATGATCACCTCGATCTTTATTAATATGCAAAGAACTGATCTCACAGGACTTCATTTTAATGTAATTTTTGGATTTGAATTTAAGGTTATTGCTGTGGCAGATGAATCGAGTCGACATAATGCTCCTTCAAATGCTTTATCGATTTTTAAAGAAGTCAAAAAGGCAAATCAAATGGACGGAATTAAGGTAATATTTCCTTTCTCACATTTTCATTTATGTCAACTGAAGGTGTCATAGTTCACTGAAGATGTCATAGTTCATTGGACAAAAATATAGTTTTATCTGTCTAGCATTTACTTGATGTCTCATTGTATTATGAGTCAGGAAAAATAATAGTAATGAACTAAATAAAGACAAAGTAATAAACGGAAAAGATTGATGAATTGCGAAATGAAGATAAGCCATTATCAAAATGGAAATCATATAAGTTGGCAAATCATTCCTATCCGTGCTCAATAAAAAAAGCATTTAACTGTTTCTTCATTTCGAGTTATTCTTTTTATGATGATCCATCCACTTGTTAACCTATTTATTATTACTTTCTTTCCAACTCGCTTCGTCATTAAAAATTCACTTTCCAGCTGTTAATTTTATCATTTAAAAAAAGTATTTTTTTAAATAAATATTCTGAGAAATTCTTTTTTAGAAAATATATCTATCATATTGTTTATTTTAGAAAATATCTATCATATTATATGGAATGCTAGAGGATCTGTTTCCAAGCGTTGCTGCAATAGCACGTTGTTATCCGCTTTATAGTCGATTAACCGAAAATCGCGACAATTTGGAAAACATTCAAATTGAAGTTGTTGCTGCTGGTGGCGAGGTATATTTCCCATTCTAGATTGTAGTTTTCTTATTTTCTTTTGATTTTTTTTTCTGTTGATAAATATTCTGAAAAATTTGAATTATATGTTAAGCGTATCTGTACTCGGTTTCTTCGACTTTATGCAACATTTTTAGTTTAGCATTGATATATCCTAACTCGTGGAAAGTTCTTTTCAAAGTTTATCACTTTTGCCGGATTTTAATTTGATTCATTCTTTCTTTAATAGGATGGTCACAGTTTTTAGGACCTATTGTTTAGGCTAGGATAGAATATAGCAATTATTGAGATAACATGTCTTATCAATCTTTTTCAATAATTTATATTAATGTTCTTGATATATACTTCTTAATAATTCATGTCAATGTTACTGTTGTTATCACTATGCAGAAGCTCACTGATCGTGATCTGTTGTTCCTCCAAACATTAACAGAATCGATTCGAAATACTGCTCGTCTAATTGATATGCCATATAACGAGCTTAACACGGAACAGTTCGTTGCCGAAGCTAATGAACTAATTTCAACACTTCCGAATATACAAAGTACAATTATCAAGGTTAGAAAATTTTTCAGCCCTAATTTGTCTTATGCTTATTCATAGCTTACTATTGTGATGAATGATGGAAAATAATTAAATAGCTGATATTGTAAGTTTGTAGTGATAAACTAACCCTCGATATAAATATGGTGGTGAAATAATCTGTACGATGCAAAAGCTGTTCATACCCGTTACAAATTCAGAATTTAGCCTTAAGAAAGTCTTTTTTTTTCAAAAAAAACTTTTTTGGTCATAATTTTTTGACATGAAGAATATCGAGAAGTATTAAAAAATAGGTGGATATTGAGTGAAATATTTCTTTAATGGTCAAATAATTGTATTTTATGCTAGGATCATCGATGAAAATTTATGATATCAATTGAACTTTTGATTGATTCTATAATTCGTTCGTTAATTATGTTCATTTCTCAGATTATAGCGCTTTAGATGTGATTTCTCAAATTTCAGGGCAATGATTTACTTAAAAAGGGTTTTGGAGGGATATATCATGTTGGTAAGGCATCTTCTTCACCACCGATTTTCGCATGCTTTAGCTATAAGCCATCAGGTGCTACGAAAACATACGCTCTGGTTGGAAAGGGTATAGTGTATGATACGGGTGGTACGCAGATTAAAACCAAAACTTCAATGCTTGGTATATATTTTGTATTAATATTTTATTACTTATGAATTCTGGAATTAAATGGAAATATTTAGATTACTGTTACTAATCGACTATGATTAATATTTTTGGAAATGAAAAAGGAATTGTTTAGTGATTATCTCACATTTATTATTAAAAATGCATGAAAATATGTCAAATTATCCAAAATGAATAGGTCATGGATGACTACGTTATTTAAAAAATTTAGTTCTCATTTAATTCAAAATATTTGCAAAACATTGTTAGTTTTGGTTAACTGATGAACTTAGCCTTCCTTATGCTTCATCAGAAATCATGTAATGAGCAGTAAAAAATTTAAATATGAATATGAGTGGTATAGTACTTTAATACAGTGTAATAAATGTTGGAGGAATTAAGTCTTTCATATTGTTATCATAGCTATTGTTGGAGAAAAGACAATGAAAGATTGATATAAAGGAGAGGACTATGAAAAAAAAACGAATCTTTATTAGAAATATTCTATTTAAATAGATAAATTAAGTTTGCTTGAATTAAATTTTAAAAATCAGGGTGACTTTTCAAAATGTTTCGTTTAATACATTAACAGGATTGCTTGGTCAATTAATTGCTATAATATTCTTACATTAAATAATAGTGATGTACGGGATATATTTAAATAAACTTAAATATGTCAACGGGATGTTCTTAAATAAATCTTAAATAAATCAATCTAAAAAAGGTTTATGACATCAAGATAGATATTCATTTAAATTAAAATTATTAAGTAAGGATTGGAAAGAGTTTCATATTCAGCGGCTCTCGGAAGAGAAATATTTATCTCAATTTCAGATATGAAGAGAGATATGGGTGGTGCAGCTGCTTTGCTTGGTTCATTTTATACTTTGGTAAAATTGGGCTTTAAACAAAACTTACATTGTTTACTATGCGTCGCGGATAATGCTATTTCGCATATTGCAAAGTATTTGGTTTTTTCTTTTTTTTTCCAATAGTTAAACTGTTTTGAAAACTTAAACTTAAGCTAATCTTTCTTATTGAGATTGAATAAAACATGAATATTGAAGAAAAAGCATTTTTCAGATAAATAATTTAAGCCAAAAATGTTTTAAATTAATATACTTGAAAATAATCCATAATAGAAGTAATAAAAGTGGTAGTAAAAAAGAAAAACGGTAGAAATTGAAAAGTGAAGAAAATCAAGAAACAAGTGATTTAAAAATATTGTAGAGACTAAGATTTTAAAGGATATGTATTTTGAAATGATCTTTCGATAGTAAGTTTACTGGTATCTTTTTCCAAATTTTTGCTTGTTCATTTTTTTCAAATATCATTTCAGCCGTCCGGATGACATCATAACAATGTTAAGTGGCAAAACGGTTGAAATTACGAATACAGACGCTGAAGGCCGTCTAGTATTAGCTGATGGTGTCTATTATGCAAAAAATATGCTCAAAGTCTGTTTCTTAATTTTTTGGTAATTAGCAAAATATGGTCAAAATTATTACTTCTTGAAATTTTTTTTCTGAACATGAACTTGTAATTATAGTTGTAATTTCAGTTTGCTTTCGGTAAAAAATGTTATCGAATTTGATCATAAAAATTCGTAAAAAGATTGCAACTAGCATTTTTGCATGACGTAATGAACGTTGATGATGTCAGGAAGTTTCTTTTTTTATATACAAAAAACAATTGATCATAGATGGCGTGAGGAACAGAACAAGATATGTATAGTGAATGAATCGCTATAAGAAAGATGAAATTCATTTAACTGTTTAATTTCCACAATTTAGATTGAATACACGTGCCTCTGGCAGAATTTGAGAATTTGAAAAAAAAGTGCTATTTTTTCTGAATAAAATTTTAGGCTGATACAATAATCGATATGGCGACGTTAACAAGCGCACAAGGAGTTGCAACTGGAAAGCTTCATGCTGCTATATTAACCAATAGTGAGGAATGGGAGAATCGTGCTTGTAAAGCTGGACGAGCAAGTGGTGATCTTGTTCATCCATTACCATTTTGCCCAGACTTACATTTTTGTGATCTGATAAGTCCCGTAGCAGATATGCGAAATTCAACTTTCGAGAAAATCCAGGTGAAAGTTTTTTCAACATTATGGAGTGGTAAACTTGAAGTTAATGTAAATAAGAGATAATTTTTGCAAATAATATCTAGAGAGTTGATCTGAGAAAAAAGAAATTGCTTTGGCGTTCAGTGGTGAATTATATTTTAATAAGCAGTGAATTACCACTACTTGGAACTATTAATATTGTTTTAGTTTTTTTGTTCGATTTTAGCTTTTTTCTTTTTTCTTCGTTTTAGTAGATTAAAAAAGAATTTTAGGGACCTGGAAGCTCAATTGCTGGTCTTTTCATTGGATCGCATATTGATTTCGGAAGCGGTTTGAATTGGATACATTTTGATATTGCCTATCCTGTTCAAAGTGGAACTCGTGCAACAGGTTATGGTCCGGCTCTGATTTGCGCACTTCTTGCACCTGACCTGGATGTACCGCTGTTGAAAACTTTGCAGTAAAAAAATAAGCAACTTTCAAACTATTCTAATGGAAATTTGTTTTAAAATGGGTTTTTTATGGGAGGCAACTAGAAAATTATAACACTTGCTTTATACTTTGCATCATTGTCTACGTAGTGGTACCATTTTCGTAAAGTGATTGAAATATTTTAAAATTTATTCACAATTTATGACTTTTGGGTAGATGAAATGAATTTTCTTCTTTAATGAAAAAGTAACAACTTTGTTGATTGTAACCATTTAATGAATTATCTTATAAAAATTCAACCATCAAGCTTGTTTCATTCTAAGAAGGCATCATTAACACTTCTTAGCTATGTTGACATGATGTTGCAACAAATATTTGTACTACGTGTTAACAATTCTGATATAAAAATTAATCAATGCTGATATAAAAATTACGATCACACTTATAGTACTAGCGTTTTTCTTGAACATTGATAAAATTGGAGAGAAATGGAAGAATTTTAACGCTGTCCTTCTATAAATAAATAATCTATCGCGAAAATTAAGCTTATTTGTAGAGATGCATCTAATTCGTAAGATTATTTATTTATTCAATTATTATTATTACATAGAATGATTCTCTAACAGTCATTCTATAAAAATTTTATTTTTCGAAATATTTGAAAATATTAACTTCATCAAAAGATTTGTATGAAATGATTGAACAGTATGATTTATTAGACAAAAATATTGCAAATTAGATTACAACAAAATGAACTGAAGTGAGATATGAAAGGTTTTTAATAAGAAAAAAAGAAATTGAAATCACAATGCTGAGACAGTAGATTGTTTACGATAAGGGTTAAACGTGCAATCTTTCTTTGGATAAACAAAATTTTGTTAATCGGAAGGAATATAGCAGGTTTACTGTTTTGATATTTCCTGATGATACCGAAAGATGAAATCGATTAGTACAGAACTAACAGTATATACAAGATCGAGAAATATTGCATGTAATATTTGAAGTACAATACTGTTATCCTACAACATGCTAATCTTTTTTTTTAATCCAAAAATTTGGAAATTAGTAAATACAGAATGAGTTAAAGGCTTCTCGGATTGAAGGAATAACTTATAGAGAGTAAATTAAGATGAAAGGTCATTCATATCGGGTCAAATTACTATCCTCTTACAACAAAGATATGATGAAAGATTTCAGTCAATCAAAATTCTTTCGAAACTTTGTTTCTAAATGAGGATTTGTGAGAAACGATGGAAGGAGAAGGCGGAGAAGTTATAGCATAAAATCAATTGTTACATTTATTTAATCAATTGGAAATTTCGAAATTTTACAAGCAAAATGACTTCATCAATTGATGAGAATTTCAAAAAAAAAAAGCTTCCCGTGAAAATGCTGTAACTCTTTCAGCTTAAACAATTAACTTCCACCTCGATAAGCTTAAATAGTTAAATTTTGCAGTGAAGCTAATCGTATCTCTGAAAAATTCTAATATATATCAAATTTTGAAGAATTAATGTATACATCTCCATGAACTGAGATATTTGCTGGAATTGGTTAAATCATATCATTCAATGATTTGAAAATTATTCAGTGCCATATATTGTAAATAAATGTTGCGCTTAATTTACAAATTTTCAAAAAGAAATTTAAGAATTTCTAGCCATAAATGCATATAAAACCGTTTTTTCCACTGTCATTTCATATGCTTACTCATTTAACCCATGAATTCATTTGAAAATCTAAATTTTTAAATTAAAAACAATTTTTGCAAGGTCATACTAGAAGAAGAATATGCATAAAATGAGAATTTTTTCTTCTTTTTCAAAAATTAACTGGACTGAAATTATTCCAATTGTAATCAAGGAATTTCAAAATTTTATACATTAATTAGATGACGAAATTAAATATTGCAAATTAAGATTATCGCAAAGATCACCATATATGTATTTATATTTATATATTTATGAAACGGGAAAATATTGCAATAAAGATTAAGAATTGATGTTAATAAGAATTCACATCAATTATGGCAAATTTTGCGTAAAAATTTTTAATAAATATGAAATGCTAAAAAATTTTTAATCTTTAATAAATATGAAATACCAACAAAAAATACTAATATTTCACAGTGCCAAAAAACACCTATTATGCAGTAATATTAAATTTAAGTTCACATTAAACTAAATTTTTTATGAAATTTAATTTAGCGTTGCAAAAACGGAATCCCTTCAACAATTCCATGCAATTTCTAATTATCGTTTACAATTGAAGTGGAGCGAATAATATATGCATGCAATAAATTTGACAAAAAGGAGAAAATCAAATAATAAATTGTAAAACACGAATTGATATATTTCACCCGTATGAGATGTGCGTGTCTGTCCATCCGTCTGTCCGTCCACCCGTCTGTCTGTCCACCCGTCTGTCTGTCCATCCGTCTGTCTGTCCA